CACCCATTTAAGGTCTCTTTACTATCGAACAACTTGTAGTGTCACACCAAAGCAAAGGATCACCTGAATTTATATATTCTTCATGTAAGTCAACAGAGGCGAGATTTAAAAACATCACGTGATCCACACCGCCTTTGCCGCGATCGGTACACATTTTCAATCATAATTCATGGTGTTATATTAACACCACTTGGTGTTGGATTTTGACACCATTTTAAGATTACTTTTTACACCACAGATATTTTAAACAGTGTATATACAATTAAATAAACAAATAAATAAATAATATTATTATTTAATTGTTTATACTTCGATTTATTAAATTAAAATTTTCCTGAAAACCCTCCTGTTCCAACAGAACAGGCCGTGAAGTCATACGAATTGTTTCTGCCCGCACCTTTCCGCTATGCGTTGTCTGCGGCGCAGTCTGCGCATATTGTTCTGTGCTCTGCGCCGCATACTGAGTATGCTTTGCGTGTTATTATCATACAGTATTGTGCAAATTAATGTGAACATTGGGAATGTCTATATTATTTTAACTTCGGACACTGCTGTGACAATTCTGACAGGTGTTCCTTGACATATCCCATAACCTTTTATTCTGCATTAAGTTATTGTGAATGTTGTAATTTGTAATTTGTGGGCTATAATACCTATATACCGTGTTGGGAAGGACGGTTGTTCAATACCCGCGTGAAAATAACAAGGATAGTACGCCAAACAGAAGGCGCTTACAATACGTACGCCTGCCGGCTCTGACCAATCAAATTCTGTTTGGCGTTCTTTCCTTGTTCTTTTCACGCGGGTATTGAACAACCGTCCATTCCAACCCGGTCGGACTTGGATTTGCACTGTGTATTATATAAGGCCAGGTTGCTGAAAATGAATTCTAAAACAAAAACTAAGATGATTGAGGCTCTCATTTAGGTATGGTTTTGAAAATTGAATTAAAAATAAAGGAAAATTGCAAAACATTGATTAATTATATGCTAAAACGAGTTGAAGCTTTAATATAGGCCAAAAACTACTACTGCTTGTATTTTTTTTCAATAAATAATATTTAACGTAAATCTATCTAGGTTATATTAATAGCAAATTATAAATTATTATTATTGTTACAATTATTTCAAATGACTTACCTTTTAAAAGATGTTGAATAACGGTAAATGTCTAAAACCAGACCAAATTTTAAAATTTACCTGCACATAAAAAGCTATGTATACATATATTATTTATTTAGTTATAAAAAATTGGTAAATGAAAAAAAATGATACCCTAAAAAAATTTTTTTGTTTGCCCAAAATAGACTTAGGGCGTGACAATCTAAACCTTTTGCCAGCAGCTTTTCCCGTATAAGGGCCCCTGCCAGATTTTTGATACGGGCCCCCCGCCACTTATGGGGACATAGGGTTATAAAGTGTGATGCTAACTTTCAACCTTAATTAAGACATTAAAATTATTTTTATATTTACATAATTGAAACATTTTCTATTTAATTTTGTTATTTTAAATTCTTATTTATGAATCTAGTTCTATATTATAATACAGCTATAGCTGTCTCAATTTATTATTTTTAAGCAATGTTAGAGACAACTGACAAATGGCAGAGAGCCTTAATATAATAATGACTTTTATACCTTTAAGGTATAACAATAGAGTCCTTTTTGAGTACCAAAAAATAAGTTTTTGAATATTTTTTTTATTTAGATACCTATATTTATATTCATAATGAATTTTTTCTACTCCCATATGTAAAACGCCCAAAATCTTACATGTTTCCATCTTTTAAAACATGAAGCCTACACAAGCACTCCGAACTGCATGTATACATACAAATAATTTCCCAAAATTAGAGGGCCCTGGGGTTCTGTTTGTTCCTAAACAGTAACGAAACAGCGGACGTCAATACAAAATCGAAATCAGTGGTAAAAAAAGAACAAGTAATTTGTTCGATTTATTATGCGGGTTCTGTCAATTCCCCCTATTTAGTTCGTACTCCTTGTGTAGGCCTAAAACATGGAGCCGGCTCCATGTTTTAAATACTTATTGACTTATTGACTAGCTGTGACTGCGTTTTAGTCACGGGCTAATGTTGTGCAGTGGCTTTCAGGCTTTTTGGTCACAGGCTGAAGTTAGTTAAAAAGTGTCAAATGTCATGCAATCGTTAAAATAAAGTTCCCTTGTTCTAAAATAATATTTAGGTACTTACTAAAATTAAAAAATTAGTTAATTATCTCAATAGTTTCTTGAAGCCAATCTTATTATTAAGTTTATTTGCACGTTTGTATTGATTTGTATTGATTTCGCCGGCTGCAAACTAGTATTTGCCGATAATGCATTAATAATTTCGCGCTGCCCATACAGCACAAGATGTCCATTGGACGTCAAATGGACTTACATTGGACATTTGGATGTACAATGGTCGTCCACTGGACGTCCAATGGATATATGTGCTGTCTGGGTGGTACCCATGCCCAGATAGCACCATTCGTCCAATGGACGTCCGTTTAAGATCCATTAAGTACATTGGTCCACGGACTAAAAATGGATGTACTATGTACGTCCATATATTTACATCCTTTGTACGATTTTAATGGACGTCCATATAGTGTCCATTTTACGTCCATAATTATTATTACAGAAATGCAAGTTAAAACGTATTGTTGGCTGCATAACAAAAGTTATGATCAATCTCACTGACATTCAAGCAAGCGCGTGCTATAAAGGACTTAAGCTATCAATGAAATGTTAAACACTTGTAGTATTGCAAATGTAATGTTCCTGAGTCGAATATAAGGATTTCCTGCAATGTTCAACATTGAATGTTGTAACTTTTAACAACTTTTAGAATATTTATATTCCTAGTGGGATTGTTACTGAGCCAGACAAAAGGCATTTCAGTCATGTTGTAGAAAATTTTCTGCAACATCGCAATGAAAATACAGTCGCAAAAAACAGTTAAAGTAAGCAAAAAAGCAGGTCCTGGATGCTGGAGGAATGGTTCAAACACCTTATAGACGTCCATCGGTGGACGACTTATGGATGTCCAAAGTTGTGACATCTGGACTCTAAACGGATGTCCATGGGACGTCCATAGAAAAAAAATGGACATCCTATGTACATACAGACGTTCACGAGCATACGTCCATTGGACGTCCATAGTATAGGTACCTTTGTGCTATCTGGGTGGCTATGCGTAAAGAATATTTTGCGTTTATTAAAGTATTAATTTTGAAGAATAGTATATTATGTATCGTTTAATAAACGCCTTTTTAGTCACAAATTTTAATTAGGCACGAATGAGTGTTTAAATTTTATTAACGAGTTGCCTATAGGTACTATAGTACCTATACTTTTTCTACGACAAATATTTATTATTATTAAATGATTTATTATTATTAAATGATTTAAATTAAATATTTGTATAGAACGACATCTATAAAACTGCACATGTCAGGAATATATTCCCAGGATTATTCCAAGCGTACCAGAATATTCCCAGGAATATTCCTGCCGTAATCAAATGTTACCTTTTTGGTTAACCCAGTCATCATAAAAAGAATATTCCAAATAGAGGCATGCATAAGACTTAAGTATTGTTAGGATAATGTCCCTTTTTATAATTTGGGGATTACTCGCCACTTATACCCAGGAACATAACTTAAATAGCCATTATTAGCCACTCTAATAATTGTTTAGCTGTGCCCAGGGGCGTGCTGGGCCGCCGGGACACCGGGAGAAATCCCGGTGGGCCGGTGGTCCGGAGGGCTAAGTGGGCCGGTGTGCCGGAGGGCTATGTAGGCAGCATGCCGCAGCACGTGGTCAATTAAAAACTTTTTTAGTTGAGTTATGTATAAATATCATAATTATTTTACACATACCATGCATGCCAGTCTGCCAGCTTTGTTTCTTTACGAGATTGTATATTGTTTATAAGTTTCCTGAGCGATGATAATTTGTATTAGTTTTTATTTTAAGTGCAAATGCTATATGTTTTAGCATTGTTTAAAATATTGTCTGGTTGTGTTTGTTGCCTGTTTTTTTCAAGAATTTAATTTATACTTTATGTTATTAATTATTAATAAATGTTTGAAATTGTTTAACTTGGTTTTGTTCACCCCCCATTTTTCGTGTGTAGTTGGCCGATTTTTCTGAATTTCCCGGGCCGGTCTGATATAGCCAGCACGCCCCTGGCTGTGCCATCACAGACGCACATCTCTAACTAATATTTTTAACCTATCGGTATATATAGTTATTAAGCGTGCGTAAGCAACGGTGAGAGGTATTGCAACTAAACTAATGAATATTTACTGGGAATGTTCTTAGATGGTGTTTGGAAGTTTTAGAGAATCATTCTGCGAAATATTCCAAATGAATATTACTAGAATGAAGCGGATTATTCCTAGGCCATAGGGCATATTCATGGAATATTTTCGAACCTTCATTACAGTCTGGGAGAGTAAGCATTCTAACTTAAAGTTAGTAACTTGGGAATCTGTATAACCGGCGCGCCGGTCAAAATCTCACATTTTTATGTGTAAATCGAAATGTATCCCTTGAAAATGGACTAACCACCTCACTCCACGTCTCCACCCGAAATTTTTAATGGTTAATCAGTTAAATCTAGTTTACTGCCAGCGAAATCAAAAGGTAACTACAACGGGCTTTTAAATTTTTCAAATATTGGCGTTGAGAAAGTTTTTAATACTTTTGTATTTTTGTATTTAGATAATAAAATAATTTTCACATTTAGTATTATTTTAACGATTGTATGACATTTGACAACTAACTTAAAACTAACTTCAGCCCGTGACTAAAACGCCTTAAACCCACAACTTGTCAATGTGTATTTAAAAGGTCACTTAGTGTCATGCAAACATGTACGATAATGGGCATAGACATTTTTTTAATATATCAGGAAATATTTTTTTTTAATTTTAATTTATAGAAAATGACTAATTTATTTAAAATAATTCTAATTTTATTTCTTTAAATTTTAGTAAAACTAATATTATTAATATTGGCTTACAATGTTGATGGGTAAGTAATTTAAAAAAAACATATTTTATTTATATGAACCTATATAATTTTTAGATGGGTTTGGCAATGCGAACAAAATAATAATTGCGTGCGTACGGAAAAATCTCCTAACTATACGTATCCTTCAATTAATACTTGTAGGTTAGCATGTGGATCCTTTAGATCCTTATGGCCCCAGCCAACAGGCAAAGTTGCTTTAAGTCAGGAACTGGAGTTAATTGATATAAGGTATTTTTATGGGTTATATATTTATTTTATTAGTGGCTAATTAAGTGTATTAAAATCCCTTAAAATTGTATTTATTTGTTTTTAAGAGACTTGCAAATTGTGATAAACGCTCAAGGAGATGCAGTGCAGTATTTGGACAAAGTCTCTGATTATTTTAAGGAATTATTAAATATGGAAAAAACCAACTGTGATATCGAAGCCAAAAAATTAAAAATTGTTTTGATTTCCACATCATCTGATGTCAATTTGTTATGGAAAACGGACGAAAGCTATTCGTTAAAAATTGAAACCGGTAAATATTAATAGTTTTTACATATGTTAAGAGTCGAAATCACGAAGGTGGGGAATTTTGAAATATAAAGTGAGCTAAAACAAAAGTTTACCTATAATAGTGGTGTAAACATTTGTTTTAGCGCACTGTATACAGGATATAACATCAAGGTTGGGAAAAAATAAAAAGGGTGATTCCTTAAAATAAAATAAAAGTTATGCTCTATGGGTTTTTGTTTTTAAGTAAAAGGGTTAAATAAAAAAATGTTTTTTGAACACTAAAATATAAGTAAACAAAATCTTAGCAATTTGGTAATACTATTGTAGAAGTAAAAAAAAATTATTTGGTTCTTAGGTTACTCAGTGGCGCAGTGGAGTTTTATGGTTTAAGTTTAGGTGCGCCACTGGAAAACATATTTTTTGTTTATTTTTTTTTAAGTTTGCTTTTTATTTTGCGTCTCTTTGTTTAATTTTTTGTTTTATTGTAATTATATACCTACTAGTCTCTTCACAGCCTACATGTATATACCTATATATAGGTAGGTTAATGAAGGTAACAGGAACATAATCGAGTATGCCATGATTCAGACTTGATAAATGATATTAAAAACCATTAAAAAGGCATTAGCAAATAAAATAAAAAATAAAAATTTTGTTTTCTTATTTCTGGTAAAAATTAATTTAAAAAAAAATAAAAATAAAAATACCCTGTAACTTGAAAACGGAAGAAATCCGCCATTTGTTTTTTCTCAACCTTTATGTTAAACTAGCGTTTTAAAAGCCGAAATTTAGCCATATTCCTTTTGAATCATAATTGGAAACCAATTTGCCACTTTGGTGATCTTGAACCTTAAGTATTAACAAAATTCTTTTTTTTATTTAGTATTATACTGTTTACACGTTATATAGCCAACCAAACAGTTTTCTGGTACTGTTAGTCTAAAAAAATTGCTACAATCCAATTTATTAATCTACTAAGATTACATACATTTTCTGTCTTTTTTTATCAAAAAATATATATCCAAGATAGTGTTTTTTTTTTAAATTTACATTTTTATCATCAAACCATATAATGTTAGTTCAAATATCAATTACCATATTTTTGTTCTAGATAACGAAATAAAAGCCACGATAACAGGTCCTACAGTTTTCGGTGTCAGACATGGTTTGGAAACCTTGTCTCAGCTGGTAACAAAATACAAAATTTCCGAACAAAAATCTTGTCTGGTTACCTTAAAAAACGGAAAAATCAACGACACACCTGCCTATGCTCATCGAGGACTTTTAATCGATACAGCAAGAAACTACCAGTCACTTTCCACTATCAAAAGACACATTGACGGGATGGCTTCTTCAAAAATGAACGTTTTGCATTGGCACATCACCGATTCCCAGAGCTTCCCTTTGGTGTCGACAAGAATACCAAACATGTCAAAGTAATATTTATTTTAATTTGGGAAATTAAAATCGAGTAGTTAAAAAAAATTATTACCTTCCAAAAACAATTTAAATTTTTTTATTAATCAATTAAGTTATTTGAAATCTTTGATTTAGTTATGGTGCCTATTCAGAAAAACAAACATATAGCCCCGAAGACGTAAAAGACCTAATGGATTACGCTTTGATACGTGGAGTACGCGTAATATTGGAGCTGGACGCCCCTGCCCATGTAGGCAGTGGCTGGGAATGGGGCCCTGAAGCTGGACTTGGTAACTTGGGCGTTTGCATTCATCAGCAACCTTGGAGGAGCTACTGCATTCAACCGCCTTGCGGACAACTAAATCCCATGAACCCCAACGTCTATAAAGTCTTGGAGTTGTTGTATCAGGATTTTGTGGATTTAAATCCTAATGCTGATATGTTTCATATGGGGGGAGATGAGGTAAAGTATTTAAAAATGCAATAATTTTGTATACAATCCCAACTGCAAAATGATCTTTTTAGGTTTTTATTCCATGTTGGAATTCCACCAATGAAATAACCGATTCCCTGAAAGATAGAAGCGAAAAAGCATTTTTAGATTTGTGGGCATCATTTCAACAGAAAGCATTGGATAAATACGACAAAGTAAGAAATAATCATAAAACAAACTTAATTTTGTGGACAAGCCATCTAACGAATCCAGCGTACATCGAATCGTACCTACCAAAAGATAGGTAAAAAATTTGAAAAATTATAGTTAACAAAATAGAAGGTACATTTGTCTTGCAGGTACATAATACAAACGTGGGTTCCTCAAGAAGATGAGTTACCCAAAGAATTGCTTAAATTAGGTTACAAGTTGATAATTTCCACCAAAAACAAATGGTATCTTGATCATGGATTTTGGGGTACCACCCCTTACTACAACTGGAGGGCCGTTTATAACAACATAATACTTAGAGGAGAAGGAGTGTTGGGAGGAGAGGTAAATATTGTTTCAATAAATTACTAAAACCCTAATGATTTAGATAAACATCTTTTTGTATTTTATTAATAGTCCTTGTAACTTCTTCAGTTTTTAAATCCTACTTAAATGTGATTCAACAGGACTTTGTACTATTTTTATCAAGAAAGTTATCGAACTTAACATTTCCAAAATTACGTCTAATACAAGCATTTATTAAATTTTTAGTTTTTCTTATTTTGTGCACCATCATCAATGGTAGCATTTATAGTGGTTAAAACGTGTTGGCCACTTATACTTGGAACTGTAAAGTATATTGCCAAAATCTCTGCCACGTGGTAGAAACGGTTCTATTACGTGGAAGTAACTAAAATGGGGAACACTTTTTTAGTGTCAGTAACGTGGAGGTATGGTGGCCAAAACTTAATCATAACTTTACTAATCTTTACTTTCTATCCCCGTCTCTTTCCAGCATATTATTTATCTTATTATCTTTGCTTTCTCTGACTTGATATTAAACTAACACTGAATTATAATATTGTAAGAGTACAACTTGCAAATAATAACTAGAATTAAAATAATCCGAAGACATAAAATTAACACGAATTAAATTTTACATGGGTATCAAAGCTTGAAATATAAGCATGCCTTGTTGAAATATGTGGTAATAAAAAAAATCTATAAACTTAGCGGATATGAAAATTATTTATTTAGAAGTCTAAAATATTTTTTTTATTATTTCTGGTCACCTGAAACCATTAAATAGGTATTAACGTGTTAAATTTGGTGCGGTAATAACCAGAATTATTTGTTTAAAACTACACATTTATTTCCCTACAATGGCGATTATTTGTAAACATGTTTGCTTTTAAAGAAGGGAACTTTAAAGTGGTAATTTTATACGAAATGTGGAAATCACTTAAGCATGTAGCAAGAACGTGGCAATCACCACCGCAATTATATAATCAAGTTTTGCCACATTCAAGGTTTGGAAAAAGTTCCGAAAACGTTACCAAAACTGATATACCCACTTTACTGCTACTACCACTTAACAAAGTAATACTTAAATGATGTGATTTAGACAACTTTAAGGTGGTGTCAAACTGTATCGTGGTAGATTTAGTTATTTAAACGTTATTGCCACTCATTTAAAGAGGTGATATCAGTTTTCGTCACTATAATGCTACTAATTTGAACAATGGTATGATCATACCATTGTTCAAATTATTGCTTTATTTTAGGTTTGTATGTGGGGTGAACTGGTGGACAATCAGAACGTTTTACAAAGAACTTGGCCGAGAGCTGCAGCTGCAGCTGAGCGTCTATGGTCAGATCCCTCCACCACATCGGAACAGGCTGAAAACCGGTTTTTCACTCACAGAGACCGACTACTTTTTAGGGGAATCAATGCGGAAGCAGTGGTGCCAAAATGGTGCTCCCAAAATGAGGGTAAATGCAATTCATACTTACCATAATAGTTTTAAATAAAATTGTTTATATAAATTAAGTTTTTTATTTAAATTTTGTTAAAGCGTCCTTTAAGATTGATACGGTAAAATCTGCATCTTCCCTTGATATGCACATAGGGGGTTTTATTCTAAAAACGTTTCCATATATGCCACCTTTTCCCAAAATAACTCCATTGTCTCTGCAATATTCCCAAATCTTCATGATTTTAGATAAATCCAATGGTTCGGTAGTAGATTCTTTTGAAACTAGTTCCACTCCAATCATTAAACCTTTACCTCTTACATCTCCAATAACTGGAAATTCTGTCTTTAATTTTTCCAACTCCAATAGTAAATGCGTCCCTACTGTCTTGCTGTTTTGCTGCAGATTTTCGTCTTCAATAATCTAAAAGCAACAATATAATAAAAAAATAAGATTTTTTGTTGTTAATTTTCATACGTCTAAAACAGTGATTCCAACTGTACAAGCCAAAGGATTTCCCCCAAAAGTGTTAAAGTGACTGGCTTTTGTAAGAGATTGGGCGATTTCTGGAGTGGTTGCAACTGCACCCAAGGGAAAACCATTCCCAATACCTTTGGCCATTGTAACGATGTCCGGCTGGATACAATGACCTTCAAAACCCCAGAAATGGTCTCCCGTTCTTCCGAATCCTGTTTGGACCTAATTTAAATATGACTTAGTCAAAAGCATTCATATATAATGGTAAAGACGTTACCTCATCGGAAACAAAGAGTCCGCCATGCTCTTTTACAACTTCATACGCCTTTTTAATGAAATCTTTTGGGTATTGCACGGTTCCTCCTACTCCCTGAATTGATTCAGCAAAAAATGCTGCCAATTTCTTCTTGGGAATATCATACAAAAACAAATCTTTAAACTGATCGACGTACTTTTCATTTGCTCTACAAATCTCATCTTTACATTGACAATTTCTATCTGGTTGTACTGGACTATCCCTGCATTTATTGCCACCCCATATTCCCCTAAAAACATCGGGATTCATTGTCTAAAAAAATACATTTAAATGATTTTATTGGTTTACACATTTCCTTTATACTTTATAGAAACCAGGCACATGAGGTACTGGATATTTGTAATGGCCGTTCGAATTGATGCCCATAGTTTGATATGACATCCCATGATATCCATTTCTTAAAGAAACAATGTCAAAATTGTTGGTATAAGCCCTTGCCATTAAAATTGCCAAATCATTGGCTTCAGAACCACTATTTACAAAATATATTACCTAAAGAAATAATTAATAATAAATTTGCATTTTATTTTGTCTACTAAGATACTTTTAACTTTCCAGGAAGTTTGTCAGCCAACCTTTCAGCGTATTCATGAATTTTAGGATTAAAATAAATATTTGAAACATGCCCCAAGGTTTGAACTTGTTCAGTTAGCGCCTCTGTTATTCTTCTACAAAACAAAACATAATGTAAAGCTACGCAAACTTCTAAAAATATAAGTTTTCTTACGGATGGCTGTGGCCAACTGAAACAGTACATATTCCACCAAACATATCCAAATATCTTTTACCATTCAAATCAAATAGCCATTGTTTGTAGCCTTGATGGAAAGCTATGGGTTCACTGTAATAAGTTGTAAGTCCTGGGTTAAGGTTTTTCTTTCTTATAATTTTAAGCTCTTCAAGTGATGGACCCTTAAATATGCTATCAATATTTTTTAATTGTTAATATATTATAACTAGTCCTTACATTGTATTTCTTAGGGGTAAAATCACATTTTGGCAACTGGATTTTTGCACTATAGCTTCGTACACTTTTCAAAAATTGAGCCATTTTTATTATTATACACTTTAAAATTTTATGTGTTTATAAATTTGTGACCTAAGTATGACTGCATAATATATCTGGGAACACAAACGGCATTAACATATAATACTGAATAATGCATATTTAATAAAAAATAAACTCATTTCGGTGGTCTTTTAATTATAAATACTTATTCAGCTTTAACAATTTAGTTTAAGAAAACAAAAATTGATAAGTTTATTTACAAATGTTATCCTATTAAAGTTGGTTGTCAACAAATAATAATTTCATATAAACATATTTTATCTAATAAAAAATAAGAACATTGCAATTCTCTAATAATTAGATCATTTGCAGACTGCATTTTTAGCTTTAGTTGTTTTTGTTATGGGCCTTATATTTTACATTTTTGGGGGAAAAGATGTTCTTCTTCTTCTTCTCCCTTTTTTGGCTTTTCCCTTCCAGGATTCGGCCAGCCCAAACTTTTTTCCATAACTGGGGAGGGCGAGTCTAGGAGTTCCTTTAGCCGCTCCCTTCTTTTTCAATATTAATTTTTTCACTGTCACTTTTTTATACTTTTTTTCCTATTTTTGTCCAATTCATAAATATTGTTACAATTCACTTAAAATTCATAGGTACACTTCTTCATTTCGTCTCCCATTCAATTACAGATAATAGATAATATAATAATTTTTCGGTGTTGAGTCCATTTTGGTTCCAACCATGCACTGTTAATTCTTTAAATATTTCACCCATCCGTCGTGGAAATCCTTCGTAAATTACTTAATTTATTGTAGATTTTGTATATTTGACAAAAACCAGCGTATTTTTGTGCTGGGATTCCGATTTTGTCCCTCCAGGGTCGCAAACGACCAGTCGTCTCCAAGAACAAAACCCGAATGGAAAAGTTGTTAAATGTTATATTTATTTTTTGAAAAATTGTTTAAAAAAATAATAAACCAATTTTTTAAATTGGCGTTTAACAATTCTTTCCTTAATTAAAAAAAACAGACAATTAAGTCGAGAGGAGTTCTTCGCGGTAAATTATGGGGCCAATTGGGTTTGTGTGAACCATGCTATAGCCCGCTGCATAACAGCCCGGTAACGAGAACGTCTCTCCCACACTATTCAAGTTCTTAAAAGATTGAACTTAACATTCTTGTTCTTTTTTTATTTAATTGGTACTCTCTATAAATGAATTGCTCAAAAATTACTAATTGTAATTGCAAAAAAGCAGCCACTAATAATTCCAAACATTTAGCAGCCAATTCCCATGTAAAATTGTTCCCTGAATCCGAAAATGTCGTCAAAATTTGAAAAAGTGGAACAGTGGAACAATACTAAAATGGTGTAAATTTAACTTTCACACAGTTTATAAAATAAATTTTACCTGGTGTAAATTGAACTCCTTTTCAGTGTTAAATATAATGTGTTTTTGCTCAAATTAAATCATACTACACAGAAAAAAAGGAAACAGGAAGTTCCTTGACGCATTACAAGTATACCAGTGGTATTATTCCAAAAAATTGAACTTTTAACTCGCTATAGATAATGTTTTTAGTGCATTCCACCAACTCAAAATACTTCAAATATTGACAGCTGTCTCCACCTATTTAAGGTATCTTTAGTATCAAACAAATTGTAGTGTCACAACAAAGCAAAGGACTACCTGAGCTTATATACTCTTTATGTAAGTCAACAGAGGCGAGATTTAAGAACATCACGTGATCCACACCGCCTTTGCCGCGATCGGTACACACTATGCAACAAGGAATGCACGGCAAATTGTTTTAATTGTTTTAATCGTTTATCAGAGTGCTTTAGGTTGAAGTAACTCTTATTTTACAAACAACATATTTAGTAAACTGAACTATACAGCGGGTTGGTTTCACTAAAGTTTTCTGGGTTAATTTAACCAATTTAAAAAAATAAAATAACTATCTTGTTTAGTACCGTCAAACTAATCTTTGTTTATATTAACCTTCCCACAGTTGATTTAAATAAATACTTATGGGTCAACTAAATTAATATAGTTAAATGAACTATTCCTTTTTTTCTGTGTAGGTGCACTTCTCAAATATTTTTAGATAAACACCGTTTTGGTGTTTGCTGTATAAAACATTTTCAACCATAATTTATGGTGTTATATTAACACCACTTGGTGTTTGATTTTGACACCATTTTAAGATTACTTTTCACACCACAGATATTTTAAACAGTGTAAATGTTGGAGATACCCTGGCATCCCATGGTTAACCATGGTATAAGTCCGGTTAGCCGTTCGCAAATTAGCTGAGCTAAGCTAGATTAACCGGTTAAGTCGCCAGCTAATTAGCTAAGCTAATTTAGTTAACCGGTTAAATTAGCTAAGCTGATCAGTAAGCTAGCTAATTAACTTGGGTAACTTCTTTAGCCGGTTTAACCGGCTAAATTGTACAGCCCTACTATATATAAATAAAAACTACATTTTCAAGTTCAAAATTTATAAAACAAAAAACTCTTTTTCCAACTTATAAACAGAAATAAAACCATTAAATACCAAAAACAGATGGGTAAAGTAGTTTTTAATACTGTAAACATTTAAATTAACTAACTTAATAATTATTATAAAAATTAAAGAATGATCACTAGTTCGCTAGGGTTATAGATTCAGCAGAACAAACTGCCTCCTTCGTTTTCTTTCATTTGTTGACGTACGTAGGATGTAATTTTTTCAGTTAAATTATATTTTGCCGCGATTTTTTCCAAGTCTTCTATGGTGCCTAAGCCAGCCACGTAGCCGTTCAGTTTTGCGGCGATGTGGGAGGACTGGAGAAGTTCTGGAGTGAGACCAATGTCCTTGCATAGAGATGGGTGTCCTTGAAGTCTGTATTTTTGATGATAACTAAAAAATAGTTAGTTAAGAAAGATAATTAAATCATAAAGTTATAAAAAATACTAGTAAAATGTTTTTTAAATAAATGATACAGGGTGTCTCAGTTGGTTTTTCACTTTTTGTGGCCCTGTAAAAAAGTTGTTAGGTGGGTTGGAAGAGTGGGGTTAGTCGTAAACAAACGCTTGGTATTGGGAAATTTAGTCAACATGCAGCGTTACACAGGAGAACAACGCACTTTTTGTGTGCGCGAGTTTTATAAAAATAACAATTCTTGCACTCGTTCGACGTTTGTTTAGACGCCATTACAATTTACACGACATTTAACAATGCCCAGGCATTAATTTAATTAGGGCATGGGTTCGTAAGTTTAAAGAGACTGGTTCAACGACAAATAAACGCATAACCAACCGTTTAAAAACAATAAGAAGCCCTGAAAACATTGAGATGGTGAGAGCGTCTGTGCGGCAGGAACAAAACTTGTCGGTTCGCAGGCGTTATGTCGACATGATACGTGATTTTTTGACACCTGCTCTTCAAGAATTTGAAGGAATTTACCCAGAAAGCTGGTTTTAACAAGACGGAGCCACAAGTTACACTTCAAATCGGTCTTTGCCCGTTGTTCAGGCGTTTTTTCCTGAAAAACTGATTTCCCGAAGAGGTGACATAAATTGGCCCCCAGAAGCCCGGATTGACTCCATGCGACTTCTTTTTATGGGGATATCTTAAAAGTCAAGTTTATCGTAACCACCCTGCCAATTTGGAGGACTTGAAGCACAATATTCGGGCAGAAATGAAAGCCATAAGTGAGCAAACTTTTCGGAGCGTGATTGCAAATTTTAGAGCTCGACTTCAAGAGTTCCAGGAAAAAAATGGGCAACATTTGGACAATATAATTTAAAAGTAATAAATTTCCCAAGTTTTTTCTTTAATTTAATAAAAAATTTGTCAAAATTGATCGATTGGTTTTTTTTAATTTTAAATTCAAAAAGTGAAAAACCAAATGAGACACCCTGTACATTGATTTTCAATAAATTATCAAATTTCTACTAAAACGGAGAATTATTAATTATACAGGGTGCTATAGCATACATTTTACATAGTAAGAATTTTATCAATCGAGAGTATATCGAAGAATAAAGATCATGATACTACATAAGATATATTTAGTATCATGATAAAGATACTTTGATAAACTATTATTAAATTTTTGAGGTGGAGGTTTCGACGTTCAACAACTCAAGTGACAAGTCAAAGCAGTGTGCAGTGTTGGTTTTTGATCTTTTGTGTGAATTTGGTGTCGTTTTTGTGAAGAATAATAATTGATAGCCCTGATACCCACCTATAATAACAAGAAAAGCTTCAGACAGAAGGGTTCCACTTACCAAGAAATTTGACTCTATTTATTTGAATTAATAGGCAGAAATAAATATGACATAACAATTTAATTTTTTTATTTTAAATAGAGGTGTGTTCAGAAAATATCAGGAATTTTCGTTTTTTGAAACAAATATTTATTTATTCGTCTACATTAATGTTGTCGCCTTCAAAATAGTCCCCATTGGATTTTATGCACATGTGCCAGCTCTTCTTCCAATACTCGAAACTCTTCTAAAACTCGATCTTTGGGATGCGCTTTTAATGTCATCTATGCTTGCAAAACGACGGTCCTTTAAGGTTCTCTTTATTTTTGGGAATAGGAAAAAGTCAGACAGAGGCATGTCTGGCGAATATGGAGGCTGGGGCATCATTACAGTATTGTTTTTGGCAAAAATTTTGTTCAAAATTTAACTATTTTGGAACAAATTTTGCTGCCACGCGTTTCATACCCAAAACATTCGAAAAAATTTCATGGGATGAGCCAATCGATATACCATCATCAGCGACTTCTCTGATGGTTTATAACCATTTCTTCCACTTTTTCCATGTTTTTATCGGTTGTTAATGTGCTTGTGCGTTCGGGGCGTTCGTCATCTTCAACGTCTTCACGGCCATCTTGGAAACTCTTATATCACTTGTAAACTCTTGGTTTACTTATAGCAGACTCACTATAGGCTTTTGTTAACATTTCACAGAATTTATTTCATTTTTTGAGCAAAATTGGATACAAAATTCTTTGATCCATTTCTTTTAACGAACGAAAATCGCCGAGCTCAAAAAACACGTCTAACCTTAGCGGCTGCCACAGACAAAGTAAACAATGAAAATAGCTAAAGTTTTTATCATACTTCGGGGGCATGTATACCAACATAATAAAGAAAATTTTATGACAACCGGACCCTCCGAACCCGCGAAATTTAACAATTCCCGTTATTTTCTGAACACACCTCGTACGTTATACATTTTAATTATTTAATACCTTAAAAACGTTTTGGCGATGTAGCAATGCATAACCAAGACGCTTTCAATAGGTAGTCTTTAACATCTTAAAGACGTCTTAACGACGTTTAGCAAAGACTTAATAATGCCATTAAAAGTACATAGTAAAGACGCTGTGTTTTGTAACATTAGATATCTTAAAGACGTCTTAAAGATGACTTATGTACGTCGTAAACTGGACGTCTTAGAGATGTCATAAAAGTCCAAGTCCGACATCTTTATGTCTTTAAGATGTCTTTGTGCTATCTGGGTATACCCCGGCAGTTTTGAAACCTATCAAAAATATTTTGACAGATTTAAATTCCCCTTGAAAAAGTGCCTCAATTCCGAATTTGAACCGTTTTTTAAATAAAACCATTTTTTAATAAAAAAAATTAAAATTACAAATACTTGTTTTTTACGATATCTTGAAAACTAATAATGATAAGTCAAATTTATTTTAAGATTATTGATCGGAATAAAAATACCTACGCAATTTTTTTCTGTTTACCACCTATGTATCTCTAAAGATAAGTGAGATACCCAATGGTTATTAGCCATGCTTAGCCTCAAAAAAACGGACACCCTGTATATATTTTTTTTAGTATCTGAGGATTCCATTTATTGATATTTAATATTTTTACAATTATTTACTTACTCTTCAGCAGGATACATTGGGCCAGCAGGAGCGATAACTGTGATAAGCTTTTCTTTAGTTTTGTTTTCTTGCTTTTTAAACGAAATTTCTGCTATCCTTTTTTGGTCTTCATCGTGGTAGAGAATTAAAGACATGTACTAAAAATAAATTGTTAAAACCTTCAAACTAAAAAACGACAGATCAAAAAATTATTATTTCATTGAGCATCTTAATCCATTGTTGCCCGTATTATTAAGGTTTTTTAAGAATTTCCATAGAATGTCTTCAAAATTTAATATTTTATTTTTTGAGGCATCAGACACATTTACAAATAATTTCAGATTTCAAGTGTATAAGATACAAATATCTCCAGAGCTCACTCCTGAGATTTACATAAGAAATAAACTGTAATAATTAATTTTTAAGGTATCAAAAATTTTGAAATAATCTATGGGAAATCTGTGGTAAATACCACTTTTGCACAAGTATTTCAATGTTTTTTTCATGGATAACTTTACAGAATAAATGTTTGTAAGTAGTTATTATTGTTCATTTTTAAATTGGCTACAAAATAGTTCCTACTAAAATTTATTATAAGGTCGTTTTGAGGGGTGGTGAATCCAGTGCCGTGCATAGATTATTTTAATCGTTAATATAAATTCTCTAAAAAAAATTTACTCTCAAAACCTGTTATAGTAGGCCTTGTATTTTGCAAAAGTATACAGTTTTTTGCTCCAAAAATACAGTTTATCAAGATCGCACAATAAATAAAGATTTTCCAGTTGTAAGTCGCAAACAAATGGATCACACTGCATCTCTTAAAATATGAATTCTAGACTTTTTTGTAGAAGACTAAATTTTCAAGAAAAAGTGTATTTACTTTTTTTTTCAAAGTCAATACAAGTCAACCGTCTACAAGTTAACAGCAAAAAACTAAACTTTGAACCAATAAGATACTTTGCTATGCAATGGAAAAACGACGTTGTTTCAGTTCTTAAAATTATAGTTAAAACAGGATTAGAGTGGAAAAAATGTTATTTCTAGCGGTATTAAACAAAACAAAAAAAAACGATTTTGTTTCAACTTTTTTACATGTCTAGTGTTTTTCCTTTTCTAGGTTTTTTATCGTCGTTTTTTAATTATAACGAAAAGTAACATTGCCTTAACGGTATACATGGCAACTTACTTGTTTTTTAATAATAGTAGTTAGGCCATATTCGTGGTTGTTCCAGAACATTTGTAAAAGATCTTCATAACTAATTACTTTTGGATCATAGTCTATATCTACTACTTCTGTGTGATCTCCCCTAAAATTTAAACGAGACATTAAAAATACATAAATTATATAGGTAAATAAAAATGTTGCTAAACAGATATCAAATTATTTTTTTTTAGTAATAAAATTAATTAATTAAAGTTTATAAGCAATAAACCAACCTTAAATTGAAATACAATCATAAATATATAATTTTTTTTTCATTTGTCCAATAAAAGCATTATAATATAATTTTCCCCAAAAGCAAATTCAAGGTGGTTAAGCAGAAATTATGTTTGCTGAATATTAATTTATAATAAGCCAATTTGAATTTAAAATACACTAATGGACAAATATAGAGAAACTTTTTAAAAATTTATAATATGTTTTAATTATAAAGTGAATAAAATTATTTATATAATATTTGATATACATAAATTTAGGTTGTTATGTCTGTTCATTAAACAGTTTAAATAAGTACACCATACAAGTTTTATACATTTTTATTTTTTTTTAAGTGGACAAATGTAGAGAAACTTTCTTAAAAATAATTATAAAATTATTATAAGTTGAAAATAATTAAAACAATTAATAATGTGTAGAAAACCCATTGTTGGTTATTACTTCCTGGCATCTTTTAGGCATTGATCCTAATAATTTTTGAATTGTTTGATTTTCCATATTTCTCCAGCATTCTTTTAGTCTTTCGATCAATTCTTGCTTGTTATGAATTTCTTTTTTGTGAACTTGCCTGTACAGTTCCTCCCAGAAGTTCTCAATGGGATTTAAATCCGGACTTTGAGGTGGAAACTCCATAACCTTTATTTTTTCTCTGGTAAACCATTCATTTACGATCCCGGCCTTGTGCTTCGGATCATTATCCTGTTGGAAGATCCATGTTAATGGTAAATTTTCCTCGGCAAATGGCAACATAACATTTTTTAGTATATCCAGATACACAAAACGATCCATTATACCTTCAATTACGTGTAGTGGGCCCATACCATATCCTGAAAAGCAGCCCCACACCATAACAGATCCACCTCCATGCTTAACCGTTGGTTTAGTGAATGCTGGGTTAAATCTCTGACCCACAGGACGATGTACCCAAGCCCGACCATCAGATCCAAACAAGTTAAACTTTGATTCGTCCGTAAACAGTCCTTTTTTCCAATCATTGTAAGTCCAGTTTAAATGGGTTCTGGCAAATTCGAGTCGGGCTCTCTGGTTCTTTACACTAATTAATGGTTTCTTAGCTGATCTTCTGCTAAATAGTCCAAACTCTCGTAATCTTCGTTGTACAGTTTTATAACTAACCGTTGCTTCAGGAATATTCTTTAAAATTTCATTACTTGTCCAGGTAGGATTACGCTGGGCCAACCTTTTGAATCTTTTGTCCATACGCCTAGTAGTTTTTCGTGCTCTTTCCGGTTTTTTAATGGATTTTAAAGAATGGCGAGCTCTATAGTTTTTAATTGTTTTAGAAATTACACTTTTATTCAGATAAAAGTTACTTGAAATGACCACTTGCTTTATTCCACTTTCGTAAGCTTCAATAATTTTCTTTTTTAAATCTTCTGACAAATAAACTCCTCGAGGCATTTTATGTATTAATACTTTGCAAAATACTTCTTCGAAGATCGATTAATAACTGAATTCATATGAAATATTTGATATATAAAAAAAGTTTCTCTACTTCTGTCCAGCAAAAAATGAAAGAATGTCGAAAAAAATAAGAGTAACAGTCGCAGGTAAATAATTTTTTTATACAGGATGTCTATTCATAATATTATGTATACAGTGAGGGTTGCGCTCATTTAATTCGTTTATTAAAGAAAATATGAGGATAATTTAAAAGTTTCTCTACATTTGTCCATTAGTGTAAATAAAAGCAAATTTATTTAAATTTTTACCTATCTCTATTTGTAGGTTTAGTATTATTATCACTACTAGTGCCTGCTTCCTTGTCGCTAAAAAATGTGTACCTTTAAGTTTCTTTATTTTCATTCCAACTTATATTGTATTGTTTGTTTTTTACTATATATTTTATGAAATGCAGTTTTTATAAAAATAATAAACTTATTTAATATTTAGTAAAAATAAAAGATTTCCAAATGTATTTTGTTTTTATTGATATTTTGTATGATAATATCAGTATATTGTAGACTAATGGTTCTTATATGCTAATAAACAAGTTAATGTCTTGTTGAGACCAAACATGTTTTATCTTTACATTTAAGAGATTTTATTACAAAATAAATTTGAGAGGCTTTATAACTATTAGGGTGTCCCTTATTTACCAACTTGTTTTTTTTGTTCGCAGCGCCCCCTAAAGTTTTAGTTTATGACCTAAAAAAATTATAAAAAAGATATTCATTTTAAACCGTGCCACAAAGGCGATACATTTTCCGTTTAAATAACATGGGGTTTTGGCAAGTTTAACATTTTTTTTTCTCTGAAGCCAGTTAATATACAGCAAAAAGTGATACATATTTTTATAGGAAATTGAACGCTGTATAAAAAAGCTCTCTTATGATTTTTCGATAAATTCACTGGTTTAAAAGTTATTAAGGTTAAAATAGAATTCTTTCGATTTTTTTACTTTGCAAAATTATCATTATTTTTATGAAAATAAATTGTTAATTTTTGAAAATATGTGATTTTATTGTATTATTGAAAAAGTAAAAATTATTGAAAAGTGACAAGTGAATATTATTGACAAGAGATTCCGATAAATTAAAAATTGTTTATTACATTAAAAGAATCTGGTACTAGTCAGAGCTGTTCCGAGTACAATGAAAAAGTACTCGAGTACTGAATACAAGTACTCTTATATAAAAGTACTCGAGTACCCATACGAGTACAAAGTACCGAGTACACTTTAGTTATGAAATGTTGGGAAAAATGCTAGAGAAATGGGGCGAATAAGAAATGAATTTAGAATCACTAGTGCAAAACTAAACACTAGCCGGCCTATTGCCTTCATCAAATATTGATATTTCGCTTTATGTTAATTATCAAGACCGGCTAGTTTCACTTTGCCTTAGCTTTATTTTTTAATTATCTTTTTGAGGAATATTGTCACCTTATTTCTACCAAAATATAAACAAAATTACATTTCATACATAAGTAAAAACCTTTTGTTCAATGCTCTTTTTTTGTGTCTTTTTATTTATTGATTGAGGCTGTCGTGTGAGTCAAGCTGGCTGATGCTGCCTCAGGCAGCATGTCCGTAATTTGACAAGTCTGAGCAGTATTGCCAAATTTTCAACACCCACGCACATATGTGTCCACGCCAACCTCACTGCATAAAAATGCTAACTTTGGATGTACTCGAGGACACGTAAAAGTACTCGAGTACACGGGAAAGTACTCGAGTACACGGGAAAGTACTCGAGTACACGGGAAAGTTCTCGAGTACACTGGAAAGTACTCGAGTACACGGGAAAGTACTCGAGTACACGGGAAAGTACTCTAGTACACGGGAAAGTACTCGAGTACACGGGAAAGTACTCGAGTACACGGGAAAGTACTCGAGTAAATTTTTGCAAACTTAAATGTATCAAGTACAAGTATAAGTACATTCAAATTAAAGTACTCGGGACTGAGTACCGAGTACACTGAAAGTACTTGGAGTACAGTGTTTGAGTACTTGTACTCGAGCACCGCACAGCTCTGGTACTAGTTTTACTCAAATTTAGAAAGATTCCTTTTTTACATAATCTTTTTATTAACTTTACAAAACGCCATTTTTTAGTTTTATTAGGCACGAGCAAAGCTTATTAAAAACAAGTGTCTAGATAAGTTTATAAAGCGAGTTGCATACTAAGTATACTTTATCTAAGACAAACACAAAGAAGAATTTAAAGCCAATTTTATTTGTTAAACATTTGACATCTGTCAAATGTCAATGGAGTTAACCTCACTTTTCTCTAATATATAATAAAGCTAATTTTAGCCCGTGACTAAAATTCCCAAAAGCCACTACTTCAGCCCGTGACTAAAGCGCCATAAAGTCACAGCTCGTCAATGTAGAAGTAGATAAATACATTTAACTTATTTGAAAAGGACAACGTATGCGTAACTACGAATTTTATTTTGTCGTAAAAATAATTGTTAAAAGAATTTCTACGTCATCAACTGTACTTTTTATTGTATAATATTGTATAAAATCGTATAAAATGTTGTAGAATTTCTCAGAAATAAAAAGATTATGTAAAAAAGTAATCGTACTAAAATTGAGTAAAACTAGTACCAGATTCGTTTAATGTAATAAAAAAATTTAATTTATCGAAATCTTTTGTCAATAATTTTTATTTTTTCAATAATGCATTAAAATCTCATATTTTTAAAAATAAACAATTCATGAATGCATTTTCATAAAAATAATTATAATTTTGCAGTCAAAGTAAAAAAAATCGAAAAAAAGTTTAACTTTAACCTTAAATAACTTTTAAATCAGTGAATTTATGAAAAAATCATAGGAAAGTTTTTTTGTACAGCGTTCAATTTCCTATAAAAATATGTGTCTCTTATTGATGTATATTAACTTGCTCGGGAGAAAAAAAATTAAATGTAAAACTTGCCGAAACCCCATGTTATTAAAATGGAAAATGTATCGTCTTTGTGGCACGGTTTAAAATGAATATTTTTTTTATATTTTTTTTTAGGTCATAAACTAAAAATTTAGGGGGCGCTGCGAACAAAAAAAACAAGTTGGTAAATAACGGACACCCTAATAACTATAGCTAGATTTAGAGTGATAGATCTTTAAAGTGGAATTAAACAAGGTGCAAAAAAGGTAACGCCTTTGTTTACCTTTAGATTAAAAAACATATTAGGACATTATGTATGAAAAATAACATCTGTCAAATTTTGATCCATCCATCTGAAAACTACTGCGCCTTTATACTAGATGTAACTACTCCACATAGATCCAACCATCTTGTACCTACTGCGCATAGATGTCCATCATTTTGAATCCGCAATTTTGTTTTTTTAATGGATATCAAATTCTTAATCAGAGACCCCATAAATATTTAAATAATAAATTTGACCCAAATTATTAAAGACAAACGACAACTTTTCGTCATATTGGATCAGCTATTTATGTATATTGTATTTTTTGAAGAAATGGATATCAAATTTGTAATCAGACCCTCAAAAACCACATGTTGTTGATTTTGTTTATTGAATAAGTATACGGTTTTTTTTAATAGTATAAGGAGTGCCATAGATGTGCTTATACAGGGTATTTCTTTCTTGGTTAACTTTAAGTTGTGATATAAAATTACACTAACGCAAACGTTTTTCTGGCCAAATTAAATGAACTCACAGATTATAAAACTTAATGAACCAACTGTCTAAAAATGAATTTGTCAAAAATGACTAATTCAATAGTTATTAGTGGCTGCTTTTTCACTTGTACCATGGTTAACGCTAGAATACCATGGTATCCCAAAATTTAACAGCCAATTCTTATGTAAAATTGTCCCCTGAATCCCAAAATGTCGTCAAAATTTAAAAAAGTATAACAGTTTTTAAGATATAGTCAATTTTCCATTTAATATGGAATTGACTATATCTCAAAAACTTTCAAAATTTTTTACGGTATTTTCGGATTCAGGGGACAATTTTACATAGTAATTGGCTGTTAAATTTTGGGATACCATGGTATTCCATGGTTAACCATGGTACAAGTGAAAAAGCAGCCACTAATAACTATTGAATTAGTCATTTTTGCCAAATTCATTTTTAGACAGTTGGTTCATTAAGTTTTATAATCTGTGGGTTCATTTAATTTGGCCAGAAAAACGTTTGCGTTACGGGACGAAACCCCCCTTCCCCACAGTAACAAAAAGTAACGTTCGTGCTGACCCCCTCTCCCCCCTCTACCGTTACGTAATACTTGAATGATCCCTTAGGGGACATCCCTTAGTTACATGAAGTGAGAAGTTAAATTTTTCTTTCTAAAATCATAATAAGTGCTTGTAAAGTTTAAACATATATTTCTGAAACAAATAAATAACGAGAGGCGAGAATCTCTCGTATCGGCGGCACCACTAATTTTGATAATAAATTTAAATTATTTAGATTCTTTAACCACTTGTGTGTCTCTCTATTAACAACGCAATCGTGGATCAAAGACCTATCACTCTTAATGAAAAACCCTTTACATTACATTTGGAAATATTTTAAATGGTTTTATTAGACTTTCCTTATTATGACCACAACTATTTTTTAATATTTTTTGATTTGTACTTACATGCTTCTGTAGACTGGATCCATGGTGGTACCGCCGGAGTACCCAACTCTTGTCCTTAGAACGCCTGGCTGTGCTCCAAAAAGGCAATCGTTCGCCCAAAAGCAACCCATACCAAAGGTTGCTTTTTTGTAAGGCCCGCTTACTTCATGTATTATGGAAGGCATATTTTTTATTATGTCTGCAAAAAAATATTTATTTTAAAGCTTGTTTTATTTTATATACATATATCCATATATTATACTATATAATATATCTTCCATTTATTTTTTAACCGCTCAATAGTGGCTAAAGAACCGATTCAACGCGCAGAAATTATTCTTAGTTAATATTTATTTTTTTGTTCTAATTGTTAAAATTTTAATAAAAATTAAATTTTACCATCATTATATTATATTATATTATATAAACAAATATTATATTTAACAACAAAAGTATTTTTGTGTTATAGCAAAATTAAGAGCTATAATTTTAATGAGTAAATATAACTGAACATTTATAAAATAAAACTTGATTATGGTTAATTTTAATAAAAAATACTTAAATAAGTAGCTGTCAGTAAATACTCAAAGTTATCAACCTAGGGTTATCAATCAAATTTTAACGTTACTATAGTAACGTTAAAATTTGACATACGAGGTGTGTTCAGAAAATATCTGGAATTTTCATTTTTTTTTACAAATATTTATTTTTTCGTCTACATTAATGTTGTCGCCTTCAAAATAGTCCCCATTGGATATTATGCACATGTGCTAGCTCTTCTTCCAATACTCGAAACACTTCTAAAACTCGATCTTTGGGATAGCCTTTAGTTCTTTCAGCGATGCGCTTTTAATGTCATCTATGCTTGCAAAACGACGGCCCTTTAAGGTTCTCTTTATTTTTGGGTATAGAAAAAAGTCAGACTGAGGCATGTCTGGCGAATATGGATGCTGGGGCATCATTACAGTATTGTTTTTGGCCAAAAATGTTGTTCAAAATTTAACAATTTTAGAACAAATTGTGCTGCCACGCGTTTCATACCCAAAACATTTGAAAAATTTCATGGGATGAACCAATCGATATACCAACATCATCAGCGACTTCTCTGATGGTTTATAACCATTTCTTCCACTTTTTCCATGTTTTTATCGGTTTTTAATGTGCTTGTACGTTCGGGGTGTTCGTCATCTTCAACGTCTTCACGGCCATCTTGGAAACTCTTATACCACTTGTAAACTCTTGTTTTACTTATAGCAGACTCACTATAGGCCTATGTTAACATTTCACAGAATTTATTTCATTTTTTAAGCAAAATTGGATACACATTCTTTGATCCATTTCTTTTAACGAACGAAAAATCGCCGAGCTCATAAAACACGTCTAACCTTAGCAGCTGTCAAAGACAAAGTAAACAATGAAAACAGCAAAAGTTTTTATCATACTTCGGGGGCATGTATACTAACATAATAAAGAAAATTTTATGACAACCGGACCCTCCGAACCCGCGAAATTTAACAATTCCCGTTATTTTCTGAACACCCTGTGAGTTTGTAACTAGTAAAATGTTATTTTTTGTGCTTTAGCACCTTAATAATAATTACTTTTGAATTTCGCGCTTTGAAACGGTGGTAGGGAAAATTATTCATATTTACTGCAGTATAATAGTTATCACTAATTAATTCAAAATTAGGTATTCATTGTTATTAGTAGCTTTTTATTTTTTTTTATTAATGGTTCCCATCACCAACGTATGGCAGTATATATTATTATTATAGGATATTTTTTCTGGATTTTTCTTTATTCAAAACAAAACACAGAGTATACTACTAGGTATACCTAAAGTGTTGTACAGATGCAAATTTCGAAAAATAATGTTATCTATCAAGTTATTTTCTAGATATTCCAAATTAAATTTCAACCATTTTTTATAAAAACCCGTAGATATCTGAATCTTAGATACTTCTGTTGAATAAAATATATAGTATACTTCTCTTAAATAAAATCAAAGGTAACGAATAAAATAGCCAAAAATTGATGTTATTAAAATATATAGTAGGTACCTAGGTAGACAGTAGACTTCTCTTTAATAAAATCAAAGAAAACAAATAAAAATTGATGTTATTTATTTAGTTTTACTATCAATATAATTTATTATGAATTATTTATCATCATGGAAAAACCATGTAGTAAACCAATAGTAGTTGCATTATGAAATTAAATTACATTTCTTAATAAATTAATAAAAACAAATTACTGATTGCAAAATAAATTAATAAAAATTAAATAAATGTCGTCGTCCAAAATATCCATGTTGTATTTTTCTTAAACTTGTTTCTAGACATATGACTGAAACGTGAATGAAGCCTTATAGCTATAGTTTACTTGATTAAATCAACTAATTATGATCATTATTATCACAAACTTGTAAGGCTTTACAGAATAAAATTAACTTATTAAGAATTAAGCAAATATTTAATTTAAAGTATATCAAACCTTGAAATGACTCCCTAATCAAAACATTGACATAGAAAATTGCAAAAATGTTAGGCCAATGCATGTTATTAAACTAGATTTTGCATATTTATATAATGTTATAATTTTTATTTAAATAAATGTTTATTTATAGATATATAAAACAAATTTATCAACTATTATCTTTTTTCATTAAAATCAAATCAAATCAAATATTCATCAAATTAACTACGCATCTTCTAAAATGCATTAAATAAATTTCTTAATATGTAATTTTGTCAATAAATTATAATTTAAACAAAAGCAATATTGGTTCTTATTTTTAGTTGCTAAACAAATTATGTATGATGAATATTTGACACAATTTTCTTTATTACTATGTAAAATGTGAAAATAAAGGCTATTATTATTATTATTGTTATTATTATTATTATTATTTACAGGACTAGGTAGCTCTTGTAAGAAATAAAATATGTTGTTACTTTAATGGATCATTTTTATTAATGTTTCAAGTGTTTTAAAGGTTAAAATTACAATACAAAAACAATTAAGTAGTATTTTATCATTTAAAGAACAACTTAAAATCAATATTCTAATGCATCATCATAACTTTCTTATGTTTATTTTAAGTTTGTGTTTACTAGAAATTACAGGATTTGAACTTATTACGAAAAAATTAAAAATATCCCTATTAGATTACTTTGCACTTTATCGATTTATGCTTTCTATATCTCTTTAAATATTTATTTCAAACCTCTTGTAATTCTTTGGTTAGTTGACCTAAATATAGGCTAAGGCCAAAAGTGCTAGAATTTTTGTAAAATTGGAGTCATAATATTATTGTACCAAGGATACAACAAAACGAAATATCTAACCGTATCATGTGAGAAGAGACTTTAGTCTACTCTTTAAAAATGAATTAGTCAAAAATGACTAATTTAATAGTTATTAGTCGCAAAATTTAACAGCCAATTTCTATGTAAAATTGTCCCCTGAATCCGAAAGTGGAGCAGTTTTTGAGATATAGTCAATTCCATATTAAATGAAAAATTGACTATATCTCAAAAACTGTTCTACTTTTTTAACTTTTGACGACATTTTTGGATTCAGGGGTCCATTTTACATAAGAATTGGCTGTTAAATTTTGGGATACCATAGTATTTCATCGTTAACCATGGTACAAGTGAAAAAGCAGCCACTAATAACTATTAAATTAGTAATTTTTGACCAATTCATTTTTAGAGAGTATATATATTTTCAGCTTCTATAGAATATATATATCAATGTAGTTTTTATAAGTTTATTTTGGTTATATATTAAAAAATGCTTGGTGGTGTTACCATCTTTGGAGTTACCGAATCCAGGTTTGTGTTTGTCTACAATAAATAAAGTAGCAAAAAGTGCTTGGTTTTCTAAAACTCAATGATAATGGGGTGCTTTAAAAAATACAAATACTCTTGATCTACTTATCAAAAATCTACTTATCTACTTATCAAAAATCGATCATCTAGATAAAATTATTCACACAACTCCGATTAATATCTCAAACATAACACCATGGACAATCCCCCTCCCACAGACAAACTTTTCTTTGCTTAGATACCCAAAAACTAGTACTACACCAGCAACCATCAAATCAGAACTTTCAGCCATCCTATCGAATTTCACAAACCATGTTTTCATATATACTGATGCATCCAAACAAGCAAACGGCACATCGGCAGCAATTTATTCAAACTTGTTTCACCATTCGTACCTTCTTAACAAAAACTGTAGCATCTTTTCTGCTGAAATCTATGCTATATTCAAAGCTCTTACTATGGTAAATTCTAACACAGTCATCATCACCGACTCATTAAGTTCTATCTATGCATTAAAACAAATGTACCCACAACACCCCACGCTTCTCAATATAAAGAACATCCTAAAAACACTTAACTTAACCAAGATCAAAGTACACTTTATTTGGGTACCATCACACGTAGGCATCACCGGAAATGAACAAGCAGACGCACTTGCTAACTCAGCCCTACAAAACCCAATTCAAGACAACTTAGATGATGACCTACTTCCCTCTTCAGATACGAAACCTCTGAACAAACAACTAATGTACACTCGCTGGCAACAAAAATGGGAAACAAACACATCCAACAAGTTATACCAATTATTCCCATCTATACCAAAAAACTGGATACTACCTGACCACCGCAGAGACCAAGTAATAATAGCACGTTTAAGAATTGGCCACACTAGACTATCACATGGATACTTAATGGACAAACAACCGCCACCAAGATGCATTACATGTGACAGCCCACTCTCCGTCACCCATATCCTACAGGAGTGCCTGTCATTCGATGCTCAACGTCAACTACATGGACTTACACATAACAGCCTGAGGGACAACCCCAAAATCATACTTAATTTTATAAAAGATTGTAACCTTTACACTAAAATATAATTTACACCAAACTGTACCATAGCTAATAACCTATATGGTTGATGCTATTTTTTTTTAATAAATAAAAAAAAAAAAAAAAAAAAAAAATTTTTAGAGAGTATATATATTTTCAGCTTCTATAGAATATATATATCAATGTAGTTTTTATAAGTTTATTTTGGTTATATATTAAAAAATGCTTGGTGGTGTTACCATCTTTGGAGTTACCGAATCCAGGTTTGTGTTTGTCTACAATAAATAAAGTAGCAAAAAGTGCTTGGTTTTCT